AAAAGAAAGAAAATTGACCGGTGGCTCAAGCCTATAATCCTAGCACTTTGGGAGGCCGAGGTGGGTGGATCACCTGAAGTCAGGAGTTCAAGACCAGCCTGACCATCATGGTGAAACCCCATCTTTATTTTTTAAAAAAAAAAAGAAAGAAAGAAAGAAAATAGAATTGGTTGGTTAGAGCCGGGTGTGGTGGCTCATGCCTGTAATCCCAGCACTTTGGGAAGCTGAGGTGGATGGATCATGAGGTCAGGAGTTGGAGACCAGCCTGGCCAACATGGTGAAACCCTATCTCTACTAAAAATACAAAAAAAATCAGCTGGGCATGGTGGCACACTCCTGTAATTCCAGCTACTCGGGAGGCTGAGGCAGGAGAATTGCTTGAACCCGGGAGGTGGAGGTTGCAGTGAGCTGAGATCATGCCATTGCACTCCAGCCTGGGCAACAGAGCAAGACTCTGTCTCCAAAAAAATAAGAAAATATAATTGTTTGGTTAAAGTGGAACATCTCTAGTTATCAGTTTCTGATTGGGTATGCTTACGTTTTATTTTACTATTAAGTAAAAAAAAAAAAAAAGTAAAATTCTGATTGGGTACTATTAAGTTTTATTTTACTATTTTATTTTATTTTGGTGTCAACAGTGAAACTGGCCCAATTGTCCCACAGAATTGATGTTTATGGTTTCTTTTTAAAGAATATAAAAACTGATCCTCCTAGTCTTAAAACTTGAGAAAGTTACAATTATCTTATCTGAATTCCTTTCTCAGGAAACGAACCATCAGGCCTCCCAGATAGTATCAAGGTACTGGAACTTACAAGATCACCCCCTCTGAAGAATGAGACACCAGACCCCTCACCCATCATGACTGTCTAACCAACTACCTGCTTCCTATTGACTAACTCCTCTTCCTTACCCCTCCCTAATTCCTGTTTTCCCATACATGGTTACATATCTTCCCTGCTATATAAACCCTTAATTTGGCAGGGTGTGGTGGTTCATGCCTGTAATCACAGCACTTTGGGAGGCCAACATGCAGGTGGATCACTTTGAGTTCAGGACCAGCCTGGGCAACATGGCAAAATCTCATCTCTGCAAAAAATAAAAAAATTAGTCAGGCATGATGGTCGACACCTGTAGTCCCAGCTACATAGAAGGCTGATTGCCTGCTTGAACCTGGGAGATCGAGGTTGCAGTGAGTCATGATCACACTACTGCTCTTCAGCCTGAACAACAGAGTAAGGCCCTGTCTCAAAAAAACAAAACACCCCCTTAATTTTAGTCCATCTAGGAGATGAGACTGATCTCCCCTCTCCTTGGCTACAGTACCCAAATAAAGCCTTCTTCCTGACAATACTCGCATCAGTGATTACATTTCTATGTGGCAAGCAACAGGGCATAGACCAAATCTCTGACATTTCAGTGACAATATGATAAATCTGTCCTGCTGTCCTGCACCTCATACCTTTAACTCAATAGTAGTGTTCTTTTTTTTTTTTTTTTTTTTT